ATGGTATTTGTTTCGCATTAACAGCTTTTCAAGAATCCTCATTCATAAATTGACTCGTGAAACAAGGAATGAACAAAATATTTAGAGTTTTAGTGTTAATTTTTTAATGAGTCAGTAATTAACTAATGGGAACGCTTTATGAAGAGAACAACGGCATTACTCCAAGTCATTAATTAACCTCCCACAATGAAAAATAACAATTTTACTAGTTTCTTGATCCTGTGTTCTATTAAAATCATTTAGTTAGGTATAAAGGAATAATTTTTTTCTTTTTTAAGTTGTCCTTGAGGTTTAAATCCGAGTTAAAGAGAAAAATTTTAGGGTGTAGTTCAATAAAATTCTAAGTACGCGATATCAAATATATAGAAAATATTTTCCGTAAATATGGAAACTAAAGGAAGAAGATAAAAGAATTTTAATTCTTTGCTCAAATTTATATACTTATAAGAACGAAATTCGTTGTATGGCCACTATTTTAATCGATTATTATCGCCGGATAATGGTAATTGGTGAATGAGGTTTTCTGAGTGCCTCATTATTGGCTTACGGGAGGACCAATCAAATGCGATTGCTAGAGCATGCAAAATTTAAAACTTTCTTCACGAAAGGATGAGGTGAGGCGTTTGTTGAGTTTCAACTTTACAATTTTTTAAATTTCGTGCTGTTTCATACGATCTCACTCATCACCAGTTTTTCATCATCAAAGAACGTGAGATCTGTGAACACTCCATAATGTAATCACTTTCAAAATTCACAATTTTAGAAACAGATATAAACTACTCGAAATGCACAGAACCGAGAAATCAATATAATAAACTAAACAAAGCTTTGAAAATTCATTTTTTTAATAAATCTGCATTATTAAATGAATTGTAACTGGGTTAATGACAAAAAGCTTCCTAATTTAATGAAATTTTAAACAATAATAAAACAAACATAGTAACATTTAAAATTTCTACAGTAATTTCCAAAACCATAAGTGTTTATTCAGTTTAAGGGATTGTAGATAACAAAAATGCCTGTCAAATAGCAGTTACCTCATTTTACGTTTTTTGCGAATTATTACTTGAATAAGTATATTCATTTCTAACGTTTCTCTGTTGTCTCATTGATCGGTATATGGCTGCTGAAAGGGCCCTTCTTCCAGAGTATATCATAGGGGAATTTTCGGTATTGTCCTTATTCCGGAATCTCGAACCAGCTCCTCTTGAAATTTCAAGAAGTGTCAGCTTCGAATGTCGATATTTGCCTTTATCCTCCTGTCCGTGTACTCTCCTTGCAATTTCAAGCGTCACGTGATCCTTACGATCGAAAAAATAGCTTGCATAACCGTATTTGGAAAGAGATTTGTATTTTGGAACGTACATTACCTGAGGAGAAATTGTCATTTTGAGGAATGATCAGGAGCGGTAACTAATGCCAACAACGCCCTGGCTTTTCGTCACGTTTACCCAATCAAAATGCGCTGATTGAAGGAAATGAGAATTGGGAGTTATTTGGGTTTGCTAGTAGGCACATTCTATTTCCTAACTCAAATTTTTATGCTCAAGGAAATAAGACTTTAGGAAATATAAACTTAAATCAAAATCGCATCTTAAATTCTTGATTGAAATTTTAAAACTAAAATGCTTTTAACGATTTCAGATTTATATTAGAAAATCATTTTAATAGTTAATTTTTTATAACGATAATTAAAATAATGTTTCATACTAAATGGGTAATGGGAAAGCGCTTTCGATTTTATACCTTAATTAACATTTATTAGGCATTGAAAGTAATCTTTACGTAGATTTACTCTTTGCTAAAATATTTTCTCTTGAATCGTCAGATATGAAAATCGATTCTGTGAGTTGAAGAGGAATCTATATAATGACCGCAGCAAACCAACAGTCCCATTATAAATCGGAACCCCTACGTCTGATGGGAAAACAGTGAGCCATTTCAAAATTAAAGTACCCAAGATCATGGCCACTTGCCATAAAAAAACCGTTTATGTAATAATATCTCAAATTATATAACATATTAGCTCATTTGGGTAGGAAGACTCAGTATTTTGAGGGATTTATTTTTTTGGCAAGTTGTAGAAAAAAATGTTATTACTTTCTGATAACTGCTGGGTTATTCAGGTTGTAATTTGTATTATAATAACTTAGCAATGAAATCGATCACATCTAGACAGTTCAATCGATTGTTTCTGACTAAGACTTCCCAGAATGCCCAGGTAACTTTTCTGTTGCCATGGCTCCACTAAAACCCAATTGTTTTGTTCGCCTGTTTTATTTATCTTAAAAGTACATTGAAGTACAGATTTATCCCTGTTCTATCAACTCCTTACTCATTGTATTCATAATTTTCTGTTTATTGTTTTATAAAAGCTTTTGATACTTATTACTCTTCTTCCCATCTTTTCTGAAGTTTTTGAATTAACAATTGTTTTATTTCAATAACTCTTCTTGCATGTGCAGAGTAGATACTCAAATATTGACAAGCATTGAAATAAATGAAGGGATTCAATTGTTAGAATTTTAGACAATAAACAAATTTATGGCCAATTAAAAATATTAGAGAGTACTGTAAAATTGTGAAATTGGATAAATTTTAAGTACAACCTGAATAACAATCTTCTTTCTCTTTCGGCAAACAACTGATTTCAAGTACTGAGTAGGAAAGTTTGTTGAGTCACGAAATGTATATCTTGGAAAGCAATGTGCCCATTAAAGAGTAATTATAGGTATAAAATTGATTGAAAGTTGGAAATGGCCAATATAATAATAGCGATTGATTCTTCAGACTAATTAGAAAAGGATTCTCAAGTTTTAATGTTGCGATTCATTCAAATATTAAATTATTGAGGCAATTAGGCAATAAACACTGGAAAGGTAAGAAACTGGAACAAATTCAATTTAGATACGCTTAAATTGAGGTGATGTGAGTAAGGAGAAAGGAAATTAGAATTTGAAAATAATTAACATTTAAAATCGTTAAAACTATTTTGACGAATTATTTTCATGTGGTCTTGAAGAGAATATATTCACAGGTATGAGTCGACAGTTCAAATTAAAGCCTTGACCTCACAATTTACTCTTTCTAATGTGTCCTTAAAATGTCCCATTAATTTAACAAGACATTCTATTTATATCAAATGACAGGCGTTTTGATGGTTATCATTACCCCTTTAGTTGACTTCAGGCTTCACAGAGGGGACGGAACATCAAATTGAAAAAAGTCGAGAGGGGGGGGGGGTGAACAGAGGAGTGTTTCGAAGATGTAAGAGGCAAACACAAAGGTAGAAAAGGTGAGGTGAGTACTGTGAATATAGTCGAATATGGCATAGAGTGAGGTGATGGTAGTTAGAAATGAGAAGTCAACTGCCAGTTAATTGACTTTTTGCCGTATGAATATACGTTGCCCAGGGTGTACCACGTGGAGGTAAGTCTATCGCACACTCCATTTAACAAGACATAAAATTTATAAGGATATATTAGGCTTACTCCTACTTTTGGCTCTCCTTCGAGAATTTGCAATAGGACTGGTATCAAATGCAGAGTTGCTTCTTAAAGCCATTGTTAAAAATTGAGCTATCTATAGTTTTTTTTAAAACAGACTGAGACACCTTTAGAATGAATATAATTAGTATACGTTTTATATGTTAAAATCTCAATTTGGTTTAACACTCGTCATTTTAATGAGTGTCACAAGGACACGAGTTTGTCTCAACTGGTTGTATATCTGATAATTGTTCCGTCTCTCATATTATTTTTTTCGTGAAATGTCAGCTGCATTGATTATTGAAAAAAAAATTAATGCACTTATTTGGAAATGGATGAATGAGAAATGAAAGTTTATTTATTTAAATGGCAGGCGTTTTGATATCTATCATTAGCCATTTAGCTGACTTCGGGCTTCACAGAGGGAAGGCTCATCAAAGTAGCACAAAGTCGAGGGGTGGGGAACGGAAGAGCGATTCACAGATGTAAAAGAGACAGGCAGACGCAAAGGCATAGAAAAGGTAAGATGAGTACTGTGGAAGGGGTCGAATATGACAAGCAGTTGGGCCATGGTATTTCGAAGTCAGAAGTCAAATGCCGGTTAATAGACTTTTTTGCCGTATGAGTATACGTTGCCCAGGGTGCACCATGTGGAGGTAAGTCTATTGCATGAAATGGATAGATGAATGAGAAATGAAAGTAAATCCAACTGTCTCAACTTGTTATGATGAAAACGTAGACTGTTGCATACCGTGCATAATCGCTTTTCTTTCTTATTTGCTGAAAGAGAATTCTGAGTTTTGGGTGCAGGATTGGTCCTTAGTTATCGATAAACCATATCTAATAAGCCCTGAACATGATAGACAAACGTTTACGCAATCCCCTATAGAAGTAATGGCATCTGAATAGCAACGCGTGAACCATTCACTTAGTGAATGTTAGCTAACACGAATGCAAAAGTAAAGAGAATGTGCAGTTCTTTGATGCCTCGACAATGTCTGAAACATTTTGTCAACCAACTCTCTCTCTCTCTCTTTGTAATTTGTTGAAGATTTTAGCATTCAATACCAGTTGCTTTTCAAGATTAGTTTTTCTCATCTAATTGACTAAAGTAAGAGGGTACTTGAATTCATTTATAACAGCAATACTTACTAGGCTTCAACTACGAGAATGCCAAAATGCCACTATAGAAAGATTTAGTGACCATCCTGCCTTACGCAAGGTCTTTTTCCTTCAAAATGTTGTGCATAGAATGTAAACTGTATGGAAATAGGTTCGTCACCCATTTAAGCGGAGGAGTAGCTTCTACGACCTCCAACTTGTGATTCCTATTAACTAGTATATTTGGTTTTCCTTCGAAATTCTAGCCTTGTTGGTGTAACCCAGGATTCTTGTTTAATTCAACCCACAATTCATTTATCAAGGGCAAGTTGAAGGAGACTCGGGCCTCACGTTTACAAATTTTCACAGCAATGCCAGAGGAAAGCAGCGTCTTGATTAATTGGTTTGTGCATGAAGGACTGGGTTAGTCTTGCGTCAGTGGAACTAAATTGGGAGTAGTAATGCTAGGCTTCTAAGGACGCTATTCAAGTTGGCTCTTCCTAATATAAGTGGGTTATTTAACTTTCATCGAGATTTGCTCGTCTTTAGGGTATAGATTATGATGTTGGTTATAACTTCGCCAGTTTTTCCTTATTTCCTAAAGTTAACACTAGGAACCTATTGGGGATCTTATTTATCCAATGAATGCAGATTCTTGCATTCCCTAATTTTGACGAAGGTATAGCATTGAATTCTACTGTCATTCCCATTCTCAAGTGCGATTGAAATCCTTTGAAGGTCGAATGCTGCCAAAGAAGAAAAGATCATCTAAGAAAAGAAAGGAGGAAATCAAACTACAGTAGCCACATCACCGAGCAAATTACGTTCTGGTTCAAGAAAACCTGCCCCCGCACCTTTTATGGATGATTCGCCTTAGAAGTTGGGTAATGATAAGCCCATTTTAAGAACAACACACTCATATGAGGACTACCCTTACCTCATCCCATATTAGTAAGCAAATTTTATTTTGCGTTTTCTAATGGGATGTTACTGACTGCTAAGTGGTAGAATGGCAACAAATACTACGCTGGAAAGATTGCCAAGTCAATGAGAAACGGAAAGTATGTGAACAATTAATCTCTTAAGTCTCTTTTCTGTCTCTAAAAATTTCAGATCGAATTAGAAGATAATTCTGTTGATGAAGCGACCGCTCGAAACGTGATTCTTACTGAAATCCTTCTCGTAGAAACTGAGGTAACTAATACTTATCTCATTATACCTAATTTTATAATTTGTCTGACATTCAAAAATGTTCATCGATGATTACCCATCTTTTCATGCCCTGTATATTCCACTGTCCAACTTCGAAAATAAATCAAGCGTATGTTGTAGTAATATGGGTTTTTAGAATAATATCATACAATATTCAATTTGAATGAATAGTTGCATGGTCGCAAGTGTGTAAATAGGGAAAAATGGCAGAGAGATTTGGTCCATAGGTTTGATAATGTTTGCTTCTTCACTAATCACCGAAGTCCGAGTTTTCAAGTCCATATATTGAACAAGATGGGGCGGCTTTAATACCACATGGAAGAGTGTCGCCCTCAACGGAGACATCTGAGTCCCATCTCCTTGTAACAGGTTGCTTTCCCCCCATAACCTGTTATTGTTATAGAAGTTATTTCAGTGTCCAAAACGTATCAAAGGCTTCGGTTACAGTCGTACCCCCAAAAGATCGCTTGGAATGTTTTAGCAAGGGTGGGATTATTCAACTACTCATGAGTGAGGCAGGGAAAAATTGCAATTGGAGGAAGGCTAGTAATCAATAAACAGCAAGAAAAGTAATGTCTAGCTTAAATTCGTTTATAATGTGGAGAAATAATAAATAAAGGAAGCATTGATAACAGAGTAAATATCCTTATTGAAATTGAATTATTTAGGCAAATACGCAGTATATTAAGAATTGTACTAATAAAAATAAATACTTGAGGATTGTAACTCAATATATTAACAAATGAATAATTTTTACAGATACCAAATTAAATGGATACGAATACACATCTTACATTAAGGTATTCGAAGCAACTCGAATATAAATAAAAACACCTGAAATACAAATAAATAGGGGTAATCAGCATAGCAAATTTCCGAATTTTGGGGACCTGTAAGGGTAGGCTTTCGAAGAGTAACGTATTCCGGCTGTTATTTCCATAGGGTACAAGGACAAGGTTCTTGAGTCTCGTAGAGATGGACATTCGAAACCCAACGTGCTCCGGCTGTTGCCTGTTTCCAAGGGCGTTCTGAGGGAGTCCTAGCCAGTGGAAGGAGAGAGTCGGGTGCTGTTGAGGTGCTGATCGTTCGTGGGAAGGAACCATCAAATGAGGAGAGCGATGTGAAGAACAATCGCGTCGCTGATGAGAGATCGAGGCTCTGTTGAGAGGAAGTCAGGATCTGACTTGTTGTGGGTAACGGCAGAGGACGTAAGGTGATGATCACTCAAGCAGAAAGGGATTACCCGGTGAATTGAGGGATGAGGAGAGAAAATCCCGAAGCCAATGAGAGATTGGTTCTCTGCTAAGCGATTGAAGTCAGACTTTGGCAATCACCTCATTGTCACTAATTTGTAGCGGATTGCTGTGCTAGTAAAGCCCGACTGACTCAGAAATCTCTGTGGCAGATTCTTCTACCTCTAGCTAGACTTCCAGAACCAGCTAAGCCATAGCCCAGCTATAAAGGAAACACGAACCAGCTAAGCTATAGCCCAGCTATAAAGGAAACAGACCGAAACCAGCTAAGCCATAGCCCAGCTATAAAGGAAACAGACGTACAGCACGGAACACGTTTATTCAGTACGAGTATTGCGGATGAAATGTACGCGCAGGAAGCCTAATCATGATCTGGATGGCGAATTAGGTTAAACAAACAGAGGTTAATGATTGGTGACTGTTTGTACGGTCGCGCCTCCCAATCCTGGCGTGCAGGCATGCGATGACGTAGCACCTCCCAATCCTGCCGTGCAGGCATGCGATGACGTGTCCCACCTCCCAATCCTGGCGTGCAGGCATGCGATGACGTGTCCCACACTACTCATTAAAAACATAAAGAGAAAGAGAAGAGTTCAGAATAGACACCTAAATCAAAGTTTGCTTGGTTTTCTATGCATGACTCATCAGTGAAGACTTGGAGCCATTGATCTGCAGGCTAGTTGAAATTGATTGTCTCCAGTGCCAGTGAGCGCATTTGTTTGCTTTCCTGAAGTGGTCAAGCAGTTGGGCGCAACTCACTACATCAGTGACTGCTATTGTGTTTGTGGATAGAGGGAAGCTTTTTGGTTTGTCATCAATTTGTAATGCTTTCTTCAGTCTTTTTGGTTTGTCATCAATTTGTAATGCTTTCTTCAGTTATATGGCTTTCTGTTTAAGACCAGATTGCGTTTTCAGATGTCTTGGTCTATTCTCATAGGTGCTGAAGAATTTATTCATGGGAATGCGCAGTAGCTTCTCATACAGGATCAAGGCCTTCTCTTTGATAATGGAACATATTGTGGTGTTCCCTGTAACCAGGAGCATTGCACCAATGTGTGTTGGTTTTATCCCTCCAGTAATTAATCGTAATGCTTGGTTGTGTGCTTTCTCGAGTGGTTTGAGAGTCACCTCTGTGGGTGTAATGAGTGGCTCGAAGTAATACAGCATTATTATTTGAACAAACATCTTGTTATTGGTGTTTAGGGTTGAGCGTCCACATACTCATATGCTACCAGCAAGACGCTTCAGTAGGTTATCTTTTGGTGACTTGTTCTGCTACTTTTCTACGTTAGCCTCGTGTCAAACGTCAATCTGAGGTAAGTGAACTCATTGGTTTTTTCTATGGAAGTATCCTTGCACCTTAAGAGCGGGTTTATTCTGTGACGGACCAAAGAAAATGATTGAAATGCGGTTTTTGCGGTGTCGATGATCATTCCATTGTTGTCGCACCAGTTTGCTAGTAGTTCAAGTGCATCATTTAGGGCACTTTCCGTTCTCTTCTGAGCGTTTTTCTTAGAAGTGGAATATCATAGAACGAGATCATCTGCATAAAGTAAGCACTTGATGCCCGTGACTGTCTGTACCAATTCGGCTATGTCATTGATGAAGACATTGAAAAGAGTGCAGCCTGTGACAGTTCCTTGTGGTAGTCCAAATTACTGATTTTATCAAGCCCCTCAAATGCTTAATTTGTTCAGGAAGTTAGCACTCAGACCACTGGTAGCGTTGAGGTGTGGTTCCTTGAGTCTTCGATTCTTCGATGATAATTAGAGCTTGTCTCGTTTATTTCACAACCAAACCGAGGTAGACATTATCTCTAAGGGTTTTAGATAAAGCCCGCAGTAAAGTTGATTACGATTCACCACCAGGAGGTCTAATCCACCTTCAATCGAATCATGGGAACCTTTGAATATACGCCTTACCNTAAGACCAGATTGCGTTTTCAGATGTCTTGGTCTATTCTCATAGGTGCTGAAGAATTTATTCATGGGAATGCGCAGTAGCTTCTCATACAGGATCAAGGCCTTCTCTTTGATAATGGAACATATTGTGGTGTTCCCTGTAACCAGGAGCATTGCACCAATGTGTGTTGGTTTTATCCCTCCAGTAATTAATCGTAATGCTTGGTTGTGTGCTTTCTCGAGTGGTTTGAGAGTCACCTCTGTGGGTGTAATGAGTGGCTCGAAGTAATACAGCATTATTATTTGAACAAACATCTTGTTATTGGTGTTTAGGGTTGAGCGTCCACATACTCATATGCTACCAGCAAGACGCTTCAGTAGGTTATCTTTTGGTGACTTGTTCTGCTACTTTTCTACGTTAGCCTCGTGTCAAACGTCAATCTGAGGTAAGTGAACTCATTGGTTTTTTCTATGGAAGTATCCTTGCACCTTAAGAGCGGGTTTATTCTGTGACGGACCAAAGAAAATGATTGAAATGCGGTTTTTGCGGTGTCGATGATCATTCCATTGTTGTCGCACCAGTTTGCTAGTAGTTCAAGTGCATCATTTAGGGCACTTTCCGTTCTCTTCTGAGCGTTTTTCTTAGAAGTGGAATATCATAGAACGAGATCATCTGCATAAAGTAAGCACTTGATGCGTAAAGTAAACACTTGATGCCCGTGACTGTCTGTACCAATTCGCTATGTCATTGATGAAGACATTGAAAAGAGTGCAGCTTTTCCTTGTGGTAGTCCAAATTACTGATTTTATCAAGCCCCTCAAATGCTTAATTTGTTCAGGAAGTTAGCACTCAGACCACTGGTAGCGTTGAGGTGTGGTTCCTTGAGTCTTCGATTCTTCGATGATAATTAGAGCTTGTCTCGTTTATTTCACAACCAAACCGAGGTAGACATTATCTCTAAGGGTTTTAGATAAAGCCCGCAGTAAAGTTGATTACGATTCACCACCAGGAGGTCTAATCCACCTTCAATCGAATCATGGGAACCTTTGAATATACGCCTTACCGATCCTCGATAACATTTTTCATTCCCATTGTTGGAACCCAGTTGATGATTTAATAAAATATATCAGAATTTCATTATCTGTAAGCCGTGACCAATGAGCTCCCCTATTGGCTGTTTAAATATTAATGCTTTAAATAGTAACAGTTAATTCATTTTCTCCTTATTAACTTTCACAATCGTCTCCTGACATCTTGCTATAAATTTGTTTTGTGATGAGTTGATTTATTAATGAGTTGCTAAAAATATTTGTGGGCGTGCTCCGACTTCCAATTACTTTGATTAAATTAAATTTTCAAGGTGATTTATATCTTGGCGTTTTAGATAGACCGTTCACCAATGTGAGATTGTGGAATCCAGTTTTAAACATAAGGTGAACCCTGTGGGACACGTTATCGCTTTGTGCGTCATCGCATGTCTGCACACCAGGTACAAACAGTGGCCAACCAGTAGCCTCCGTTTGTTTAACCTAATCCGCCATCCTGATCATGAGTAGCTCCCTGCGAGTACACACTTGATCAGCAATATACGTCCTGAATAAACGTGCTCCGTGCTACACGTCTGTTTCCTTTATAGCTGGGCTATGGCTTAGCTGGTTCTGGAAGTCTAGCTAGAGGTAGGAGAATCTGCCACAGAGATTTCTGAGTCAGTCAGGCTTTACTAGCGTAGCTATCCGCTACAACACTTAAAGTGCATTAAATTAATGTCAGAGTTTTATCGAGGTTTTAAACTACCATCTATGGTCAAGAATGATTNCTGGTTCTGAAAGTCTAGATAGAAGTAGGAGAATCTGCCATAGAGGTTTCTGAGTCAGTCAGGCCTTAGGGAGCAATCCGCTACAAGTCTACAAAACAATATACATAACTTGCGTAGCTATCCGCTACAACACTTAAAGTGCATTAAATTAATGTCAGAGTTTTATCGAGGTTTTAAACTACCATCTATGGTCAAGAATGATTGTCATTTGACATGGATTGGCGATGGAGCATTTGCGGACTAATTTCGAGGATATGTTGGTTGTACAATGTAGCTGAATTGGCATTACTCAGGAGAGAGGAAACTAGATAATGGAAAATTCGTGTGTTGGAGCACCTCATTTTCAGAAGATACGCTACAGTTGAAGGGAACAGAGAGGGGAACTCTTAACTTTCGATGTCTGCATAAGTGGTAAATTTGTTAGCAATGTGAGAGTTAAAGATGTGACTAGGCTTTTTTAAGAAGCAGGTGATGGTGCTTACTTCGAACGCATAAGTGGATTTGATACATACGGAAAGAAAATCCCCATTAAATGAGATGCAAATTCAAGTTAAATGTGATGCTTAAATCACCTAACTTAAAGTGTTTAGTAACTTAAAATCAAGTTAAAAATAAACATATATTTGTTATTCTCTCTCTCTACTACGAATACAAAAAATGTATTTGTGGTTGCCAAGTGAATAATTCGTTGATGCATTAAGATGAAATATACTTCGCTATTTATTTTATAGTTTCCAGTTTTTCTTTCTAACGCTACACAATACCCCGTTTCAAGAAACGCGAAGAAAGAAGGCTTCTAGCTCAAAAAATAATTCATTATTGAAGAAAATGAACCTATATGGAAAAGCATGTGAGGTCGTTGATTGGTTGACTGGTTGACCGTAGATGTTAGCACTCGATTCTAAACCGGTGGTCTTGCATAGATATCTGGTAATCGATGTATCAACACGTAGGGTGGGGTTCGGACCTATGATTGCACTCCATCGAAGGCCCCAAACGTAATAGAGACGGCTTCCTTCGTAACAGAGCATAACTATGACCTGTTAAGTATTTTTTTGGTATCGCCTCCATTTCCCTTTGCTGGGGTGATTTCTTTTAGAAACTTATTTTCTCACGAATTACATTAAATGGGATAAATACTTATTGACTTACAATAAAATTATTTGATTTTTCTGTAATAGGGGTGTGCGATAG